CCGCACAGGGCCCCGCCTTGTTCAGCCCTGGGCTCTGGTGTTGTTGGAGGTGCTGTCTGAATCTTCACCCAGCCTCACGCCCACCCGGGAGCAATCTTTCTACCGAGATCCTGTCACCAGCCAGAGTGACACAACTCTGGATCTTTTGCGCTCAGCTAAAACCCTGGAGAGGGGACTGAAAATCCCCGCAAGACCAGGAGCCTCCACGGGCTGAGAGCGACAGTTCCGCAACCCATTCTTGGGAACCCTTGGAGAGGCTCTGGCTACTTTTCAAAGAGACCCCGGAGGCTCCCAAAGAGAAGTGATCGTTGAGAGGGGTGATCCGACGCACCCCCTGTTCCATATTAATCTTCTGCTTGGGCTCCTGATTCTGGTTCTTCGCGGTGCTTTCTGACCTGCCAGTTCCCTGGGGGCTGGAGTTCCTGTCCGCAGATCGGGCCCTGATACCCGAAGATGAGGGCTGGGCCGCTCTTTTCCCTCTTCCTCCTGCTCTCCGGCTGGGAGGGCTACAGGGTTAGAGGCTGATTCCCCCACTATGTAGATACAAAGAGCTTCTGCTATACAGCAGGGTTGCAACCTCACTAATAAGCGGCTATGTGCTAAAACAGGTTTCATTCCCCCAAATCTCCGGGGCAGATGGATGAACACACCTCCCTGATGCGCATGCCCCTGAACCCCTCAACTCCTCCCACCCCGTTCAGCTGGTGGAGCCCGCGGACTGCCCTCTTTACTGTGCCACGGACACAAAGCCCTGGGAAGCCACCTGGCAGGGGCTGTTTCCTTTTCCCTGAAATCCACATGCCAGGCAGCAGTGCCAATTTCTTCACCTCCCCAGTAGCCACATGCCCTACAGCTGGGTTCATCTGCTGCAACAGATCTGATAGGTCGAGGTACCCGGTGGTCGGTCGTCCTGGTCCAAACCAGCCCGGACAGTTACCGTGCCTCAGGATGGACTGACCGCTCTGAAGCGCAGTCTTGATCTTAATCATCAAGCCTACCAGAGACTTGGGAGAAGCAGGGCGGCCTTGCGGTGGGTACAGTGGGCTCCCGTATCAGAAGGTGTGTGTAGTTCCCAGAGATTGGGAACTACTACAGATTCAGTCCCCGCCTGGTGGTGGTGGATCTATAATCAGCGCTTCCTAAGCCCAAACTCCACCGGCAAAGAGACCCGGAACCCCGATGCCTGTGCCTGGGGGGGGTCTAGTGTTCGTGTCCTCTGAACTTGCAGCTGCACGGGGCACGTGCCACTGACATCGGGGAAAGAAACTCCCAACCTGACAGACAGCTGGGACGAGCTCGTGTTCTCTAAAATCAAAGAAGGAATTTTAGGAACACCGGAGGTTGAGAGCAGAATATATTTATTGGGGGAAAGAAAGCTTCTGTCCACGAGAGGGACAGAAGGGAGCCCAAGTGGGTTGCCCAGGAACCTGTTTTTTCTAGGGACTTTTGTAGAGCAAAACCACAAGGTGAGAAGGGTCCTAGCTGGGAAACGTGGGAACTTGCAAGGTGGCATGAGGCGGGACAAAATTATGGGCAGCCAATAAGATTACAAGTATAATTGTTCAGGTAAAATTGATTACACAGGGATCAAGCGGGGAAGTGAGTCATGTAGCAAGTGGGCATGAATACAGAACGGGGCTTTTCCTGTAGAGGGTGGGTTAGTGACTCTTCCTGGCTTTTTCAAGGTGAGTGATACCTATGTAGAATACCAATCCCAGATGTCCATCCCTAGGGAGGTGTGTGGGTGCATTTGTTTAACCTTTCGTCTCGAGCTCCGGCTCACGGCGGAAGTGCCTGTCTCTCCCAGTTGTAAGGTATCTTGTCTTCCATACTGGCTCCTTTGAGGGCCTGGCCCTGTCTGACTGCCTGTCATACTCCCTAACTCAGCTGCCCACAACGCTACTGTGGCTATGACTGCATGCACAGGCAGGGCGTACGTCCTGCTGGAAAGTGACCCGCCTGGCTGTGACCCCCGACAGAATCACACCGCCCTCTGAAAAAGAAGGTGGATGTCAACCCAGTGGCAGGGGTGACAGCCTCGGAGGAGTCTCTGGTTACCCTGGAGGGAGGCACCATTTACAGTGCTGTCACTACAGCCAGTGCATCCACTACAGTTGAAACACAGCCCAACAGCCAGGTGCAAACCTGCAAGGCCCCCTGCTTCTCCTGATTCTCTGGCCTGTGTGGTTGCCGCGCACCCAGCAGGGTTAGATCTAACGCTGGCCCGAGGAGGCGGGTCGGGGTGGGGAATGGGCCTTGTGTCCTGTGCAGTGCTAATCACCCTGGTTGCTTTTGGGTTAATAAAAGGAGCCAGGGAGAGATAAGGACTCCAGCATCTTAACCAGGCTACCTGGCTGAAGGGTATCTCCCAGCCAGAACTACAAGACCTTTGCAGTCGCATCAGGGAGACATGGCCCCTCCTGGGACCACTTCTATTTCTCCTGCTCCAGTTTGGACCTTGCCTCCTTAGTCTGTGTGGTTCTCATCTTCCCACCCAGAGGCTATAAACCTGCAGATGACTTTGAGAATGAAGGGCTACAAACTGGTGCCAACAAAGGAGTGCTTCTGGGGAGCCCTGGACTGATCGCCCACCGACAGAGGGCAAGGAGTGAAGAAGGGGCGCTGCTGAGGAACCAGGAGCTGCTGCTCCTCGCGGAGGGAGAGGAGCGAGGCAGACGGGAGTGGTGGGAGGCGGGCCGCTGAGCTTGCCACCCCAACAGAGCACGCGGAGTAACTACCCTGAGGCCCTGAGCGTGACCCTCTTCATTCACGCGTGTGCAGGAGGAGAGCGCAGAGCACCCTAAAGGCCAGGAAGTGTGGGGAAATAAAGGGAACCGGAACAGAGGAACCCTGGATTGCGCACTCTGTGAGCTGCATCCTGCTTGCAATAAAACTTCCTTTCTCTAAACCACCGCTTTTCTCGCTCCTGGTTTGGACTCTCCTTGCGCAAGTGCAGCAACCAAGCAAATTCTTGTCTCTGGACTGCAAGACCAGGGACCGTAACTCTACATCTTCCGCTGTGTGTCTGTGGGATACCGGGGCTGGAACCCAGGGCCTCTGCACTAAGCTTCATCCCCCACCCTTTTCATTTTTCACCTTGAGACAGGGTCTCCCTAAGTTGCCCAGGCTGGGCTCAAACTTGTGATCTTCCTGCCTCAGCCTCTACGTAGCTAGATTACAGGCT